GTGTGTGTGTGTGTGTGTGTGTGTGTGTGTGTGTGTGTGTGTTATCATGTGTTCTTTAGTCTAAACAAAAATGAGTTACGCTCTACGTCTGACATAAAGGGTAACACCTCCAGGGGTGTAACCAGGAAGAGTTGTACATTATAAGCTCAATTCATTATTATAGATGTTAGAAGTGTTTTTCAGAAGAAGTTCGAGTTGTGCAGAGTCTCTGTTCAGATCCAGCCTGGACAGACTGGGATGCTGTGTCGTTTGGTTTCATGATATCAGTTCAAGGCTTTTTGACTCTGAGGCCTGACTGCTGAAACTGATTGGAGTCAGAAGACAAGAATAAAGTTTTGAGAAGAAATCCAAGTAGATTCCTGTTTATTCGGACATATCATTTTTGAACAAGACATAATTTTCCTACACAACTTAAGCCAATTTTGTTCAACACGTCGCTGTAAGTTGCACAAGTTAGGTGTAAGTTGTGGATATGTTGTCAGAATGATGGCCCGACAATAATTTTGGACGTGTTCAAAATTTGTCAGCTTATGTCAACGTGCTGCTGATAAGTAAGGCATAAATTACAGGTATGCTACGGATGATTTATGCATCAGTTCACATTTGTTTCAGGTAAGTTGTTCATTTGTTATTCATAAGTGATATAAGCCCAACACCAGCGGGACACTTCTGAAGCAGCATGTAACTTTTTGTTTAAACCACTGAGTAGCTACCGTCAACTAAGGCTCATGTGAAAGCCAGTTTAACTTTTGCATAACGATAATAATAAAAATAATACAGGTAAACTAACCAACCTAACTCAACAGAATTGATGAAAAAAATAGTTTTCCTATTTTATCAATAAATGCATTGATCAAATTAATGTCCCAGTCTGGTWTTAAATACAAACAAGTTTATTTTGCCAGAACCTTGTTTAAAATTTTGTTATTATTAAATTAAAATTTTCAGATATTTGATCAACATTAAACCTGGCACTTTGACAGAACAGCTGGTTGTTGCGCAAAAAATGAAATAAATAAATAAAAACAAAGCCACGTAATCCTGATCATAACCAATAATACATTTTGCTGTAAGTAATGTTTAAAGCAAGGCAGCAGCGTCATGCGCAGCTGCACCCCGAGGCGCAGTGATCTGGACGGGCTTCATCACAAAATGATAAGAAACAACACATCACCTGTAACATGAAAGGTTTTGAATATCTGAGACATTTTATATTAAAAATTGATGTTTTTGTTTCTTTTACTGCACCCTAGAGGTTTTCTGTCAAACTCCTCCACTCAGCTGCTTCCTGAGCACCTGCTGGTATTTGTGCGACATCTAGCGGTCACACGTGGGAAGTGACACTTCTTCTGCTCTTTTCTTTTCTTTTCTCTTTTTAAAAACCTGCCAGGGGCCATTTTGAACCAAACAGCGGTGTTACCACATGCCTGGGAGTAATGTGTAAAACACAAACAAACAAATATAAATGACCAGAACCAGAACCTTGGGTATGCTGCAGCACAAAACAGCTAAACTCATCATCTGTATTTCATTTACCTGTAACATCATCATCAAAATGTGCTCAAATTGGCTTTCATGTTGACCTTATTCTGAATGGATTGAGACTATAGCTGTGTATTTTTTGCATTTTAAAATTAGAGTCAAGCAGTTTTTGCTTTTAATGTTTCTGCAAATTTGTAAGATTTAGAATTTGCAGAATAAAAATAACCTGATAACCCCCTTTTTAAATTGTCACATAAAATAAATCTTGAAATAATCCGGGTAATAAAAACGACAGTTTAATTGATCCCAGGGGTAGATTTAAAATAAAATCCAGTTTTTGTTTTATTTCAACAGAAGCTCAAAGTCTGGTCTCTGTTAGGAAACTTTTCTTCTCGTGAACTTCCTGTTGGACATCACTTAATGACGCGGCTAAAGTCGTTAATTGGCCGCTTAATTGGCCCACGGGAGCGCGCACCTTCCGCGCTCCGCGGTCCTCTCATCCTGCCCTCACACACCCGTCACAAAGAATTAGGGTCACCCTCTCAGACAGCAAGGACCCCCCCCCCCACCCCCCATCAGCAGACACCTCTGGATCCATATCACCCCCCAGCAGCGGTGTCTCGGTGTTTTATGTCTGCGTCACAACAAGTCGGCGGAGGGCGCGAGGCAAGAACGATCATGGCGTCTCTGGCGGCTTGATTCCAAAGCTGCTCTGACAGACCCGCCATCATAGCATCAGTAGCTGAGGGGGGTGAGGGGTGAGGTGGGGAGAAGAGCAGCAGCGACGGGAACATGACGAAACAGCACCGCGGAGGAAACTAGAGAGACCGACGGACAG